GTGCTGTAATGATAGCATCAACAACACCTTGTGACCCACCTCGAAGTGACGATCCTTTGTCTTTCTCTTGTAATAATTGGCTTGACGGAGATTCTCCTGAGTCAACTTAGAAACCTCTTCTAACTTGTTGCGTTGATAAACAACATATTGGTATATTGTTATCATTTACTCTGATGCTTTCTCATCAGTCCATATCTGTTTTAATATAGCCATGGATCCCCTAACTGCCTTCCCATAAACTAATTCAAAAGGTGAAAAACTAGCCTGTGACACTTTTCGAAACGCAAAAAGTATCGCCGGAAGGTATCGATCTTAATCCCTGGGTCGACTTTTACACAGCTTTTTCCCAGCCTGTTTCAAAGTCCCATTCAAACGTTTCACAAAATCATTGCACTGCGGGTGATACGAGGTAGCTGTCAGATGTCTAACGGACAGTAACTTGTTTACCTCTACCATCATCTGGCTCACAAAATGTGTCCCTTGGTCAGTCAGTATATCATCTGGGACACCCACTCTCGATCAAACGCCTAACAAGGCCTCAGCCACTGTGACTGAGTCAATGCTTTTTAATGCCACGGACTCTGGGTACAGGGTGGAGTAATCTAATATCGTTAGTAAGTAACGATTACCACTTTCTGCCGCCGGCTTTATCGGACCCACTAGGTCCATCTCTACCATCGAGAAAGGTTCCTCAATCATTGGAGTGGTTCTAGTGGCACTGGGCGATGGGAGGTCATAGTTGCCACCCGCTGACCACCCGCTGACACTTGTCACACGACAAACAGTACCTATGAACAGCCCCCATACACACCTGGCCTGAAGAACTCCCTCACTAACCTCTCCCTGGTCTTCGCCAGGCCCATGTGGCTTCTAAGTAGACCCTCCTGTGCCAGCCTAAGCACTTCCTATTGATTCGGTAATAGACATAACAACTTGTTTAAACGTATCGGTCCATTTCGTAGTGTACTGATACAAAAATTCATCGTTTCGTAGCGTATTTTAACTCGCCATCTGGAGATTTCCGTACGGAACAATATTTTGCGTACCTGCATATCTTGGTGAGAGATAATTATTCCTCTTGAAGTTTCTTGAACTCGCCAGGTAGCAAATTGTCTATTGAGAAGCCTAGGGTCTTAGTAGCTTTGACCCTGACCTTTGCTTCATCGCCCTCGTCTCAACACACCCCACGTGTACATGAGTACACGTCACATGGTTAGGCTGTAACAATACATGCCTACACCTTAATATCACTCATGAGACAGTCCTGACAAAGACACTGCTTAAATTCACCCCTTTACATACGGCGAATTAAGGTCTATGTTAAAACTACTGGGAGCGACTCTTTCGTCCAGTTAGGAAGTGTGTTGCTGCCGTAACACACCGGCTCACCTTTCCTCCCCTGGTATCCTTCTCCACCCGCTGATCCTTCCTCGACCCACAGAAATGCTTTCGGCTGAGAATTACGGCCTCTAGCCTCCCACCATTCTAACCATTCCGTCTTTGGGGTGCCATCTCTGTGGTCTTCCTATGTTCACTGATGTCAGGTCGGTTCCTGCCACCCGAAGAGTTTCCGGTAACTTGCAGAAATGACGGTTTTCCACACAGAACAGAAGTAGAACTCAATCATGGCAGGTTTAAAAAAAACGTAGCCTTTTATTACACACACACACACACACACACACATATATATATATATATATATATATATATATATATATATATATATATATATATATATATATATATATATATATATATATATAACTCCTGACAGGTCCTGAGCCAATCTGTGCATTATGGCTATTTAAACGCGGCCATCTACAGACATTAACAAAAACAAAACAGAGATCGACTAAAAATTTGAATCTTTTACACACACTATGACGAAATCTCTGGTTCATGTTTAGATTTGTTTCCATTAATTGTCACAGTTCGTACATTAATGTTTCGTTTCCTTTGTCCAGATTTTAGTCTATTAGTCCTTGATGCAACAACATTTGTTTAACCGTCTGTAGATGTTATGTATTTTGTGTTATGTCAATGTGGAGTCAAAAGCGTTTGTACAAGTTTGTGCGTTGTTGCTGTGAACTACCAAGAGAGGGAAGGAAAATTTACAAGAATTGGTACAGAAGGAGGATATTATCTCTCATGTGATGAAATAAATAAGGCATTTGTTAACAGGCAAATTAATGTAATAATGTATGAGTAAAGTGTGATTGTTAGATTTATATCCATACATTGCTTTAATAGTTTCATTTGTTATTAATTTTGGTTAAATTGTTATATATTTTACCTTGAGTTGTTCATGTTTCTAAGCGATCTGCATTGCTGACTGAGGGCTTATGAGTCATTCAAAATTTGAATATCCAATCTATCTGCCGTATTATTCATAATACTGTCGAAGGTCTGTGACAGAGAGAAAGCATGCAAGGTTTCCGTGACTCGGTTTTTTTTCCCCCGGGATCCTCCTCCACCATATATACCGGCTACTGGGAACGACTACTTAAACTACTTAAAAATATCGTCAAGCTAACATTACCACAAAACACCTTTATATTGTAACGAGGATACCCCATGGATCTCAATTTTTTGTTTCGTTGTTTAATATTTCGCTTCGTTCAAGTTTTTGTTGTGATTTTAAATGTTTGGCGGGCTTTGTAGTGCCATCTATTGTCTTCATTTTGGGACACGTGATTTCACCTTGGTATATATATGGGCTAACTGTGGCTGCTATGGTGGTGTGTATGGAAGAGGTGTAGAGTGAATACTTCCCTTGCAGTGTAGCAGTCTAAACACCCCGCCAGAGCAAGCACACTTGGTCGTATTCTGGTAGGAGAGATTCAGGCCAGGAATTTGGAAAGGTTAGGGACAAGGATATCGACCAGCAGCCCGGCGCTACAAGGCATGTCCAAGAGAATGCAGAGATATTGCGACGATCCACGTATCGACTGAGGATACCTCCTCTTTCATCATTTCGCGCTGTGGTCTCTCGATCGATCGATGGATCGGATAACGACACGATTCTGAGTCCAGTCAGCGACCAGAAGAAGACCCAGTCTGCAAGTCTGTGACCAAGACTGAGACACGTCTGCGACACAGTTGGTGACCAGAGGAAGACCAGTCGGCGACCCTGCGACTAGTCTTTGACCAAGTCGGCGACACCCAAGAAGCCAGGAATAAAACGGTATCCCGCTGAGTTAGGAATCTGTCACACTCTGGAGTACTAGTCATCAGACAAATTCAGCGGGGTATCACTCCTAATACAAGACCTGTCATAAAGAACCGGAGAAAGCGAGACTCAGGGTAGTGTAGCCGAGGGAGTCTTACACTATAATATTGACATATCACAATAACAAATAGTCCCAACAAAATAACAACTGTGTTCCTTAAACGTTCGCAGTTAAATTTTAAAATATTCATAAGTGTAACATTCAAGTCCAAAATAAGACAACAAAGTTTTAAAAAGCCAAGAAATAAAATGATGACCTTTCATTAAAATGCAATGAAAGGGTTAAATAATGTACACAAGCAACCTTTTATTAAGGTATTCTGCGCGGTAATATTTTGTACTTTCTTTAGTACAAAAGTGGACCTAAGAAGAATATATACTTTCAACAATGATTGCTTCAGTTATTTTGATAACATTTCCGGCCACTTTTGAAGCTTGATTATCACAATTTGAAATAAAAAGTGATACCTGGATTTGTGTGATGTTATGTATAATTTTGTCAAGAAACTATGTTATTTGTAGTAGATTTGACTGGTGTACATGACATCTCTATTTGTAAACTTTAGGTTGCACTTGCACCTACTAACAGTCCTCCAAGAAAAGGGTACTTACTTGTGACAAATATTTAGGATACAAAAGAGATTAACGGAAGCTAAAAATATTGCGATTTAAGACAGATATTGAATTCTAAGATATATTATTCCACTTGTAGTACAAATATACTGCCAAACACTGAACACCTTGCGTAAGACCAGTAACTGCTGCAAAGAACTAGCTTCCACCTGAGGTTTAGGTTTGTTGTGCGGGAAGATTAGAACGAACATCATACCGGAGTGTAATCTCTATCAGCTCTGGACTATTTTAATTTTAAGCATAACACAAAGTAAAGATCGTTTGTTATTTATCTGGACCACTCTTTGCGCAAGACCACATGGTGAATATAAACTCCAGAAACCAACATGCACAAATTTTAGAGAACAAATAACTAACTAAACAATGAGAAAATAAATGCAAACCGTAGTGTCCTTCTGCACATGTACACATGCGAAAATGGAATCAAACAGATAAATAGATCACAACCAAATCATCTCTCAAAAAGGAACTACATTTGATTCATATAAAAGTTGTCACAGTTTTGTAAAAAAAAATAAGAACGTTTTGTTTATCAATGAAGCCGTTTATCGCATAAACACAAAGTTAATCCACCCCACCCACTCACCACACCCATAAAACCCATACTTCTGCAAGATGTTATTTGTTCACACTTGCAGACATTTACCTCTGAGCCATGGAAGCGTTGAGGTAAAAGAGGCTCCCTTATTTCGATGTGATGGTCATTGTTAATCTTGAGCATGTATGTTTGTGGGAATTATTTTTGAGGCATATTTTGTATGCTGCCCTTCTAGATCTATCTTATCGGTTGTTTTCGTTTCTTTTTTGTTTCTTCTCCATTTTCTATCTACTCTAATGGTATAGAATCTTCTTGTACTGGACATTTTTTAAACACAATTATCCTGTTTTATAAAAGTGGCAAATAAAAAGAAGTTTAGATAGCATGTGTGTGTGTGTGTGTGTGATTTTGATTTTTAACGTAGCTTTAAAAATATTGAATAGTATCGCTACGATGTTTACAGTATGGCAATTTACAGTGATGTCTAGCATGTCCCACCCAGGCACATTATTCTGGCACCAGGCCGACCAGTGCTAACACTAACTTCTTAATCCTGAGCGCCAAGCGAGGCAGCTGTAAGTACCTTTTCATATAATTCTTTGACTCGGCCAAGGTTCGAACCCGCGACCTCCCACATCCGAGGCGGACTCTCTAACCACAAGGTCACCAGAGCTGTCGTTAGCATTAGAACGAGCTCATTGGATACAACATATTCACAGAATGTCAGGTAACAGAAAGTCCAGTTTAAATCAGTTTCATGGTTTTTACGTTTCTACTAGTACTTTTTCGGTTTTGTCCAGAATTCAGCTACTGTACGACGTGATCACTGTTTGTCAACGTCCTGATCACTATGTTTACCATCCTTTGTCAAGGTAGTGTATTACTATTTTTAGCAATGAACTGTTTTCAAGGAGCCAGCAACAAGACCTTGATGGTAGGTGCGCATGCCTTCTAAATCAGATGACTTGCATTATCGCCCGATCATTGAACTTTCTAGCTCTCGGGTACTATCACGGTGACCCAGCCCTTTTCTTTGTCAATGAATAAAAAGACATAACGAAATAAATTCTGTTAAAAATTCTATTCACGCACTGTGGTACTAATCGTATTCGTGTGAATGTTTTCAAGCCTTGCATAGCGCGTTAAATGACTGACAGAGTGAATTGAAGTTCATGACCTATCTGTTACCTAATGATAGTTTACCTTGATACTGACGTTTACTGCCCGCTGGTATCTAAATCTGCGTGTGATGCTTGTTTGCACATGATGAATGAAATGTTCCACTCATTTATCATTTAAATATGTTTCGTCTAAAGGGAGACATCAACGGTGAACCTCTGAGGAGAATCTGTAATTTGAAATGTGATCCTAAAATCCGAACAGTCGAGATTCAACACATTTAATCGTTGGGGAAAGAAGGCAGCAGACGACATGGTTCTGTATGCGATCACTTGGTCCACAGGACGGACTGCGACCAGATGATAACTGTAAAGAAATGAAACTTTACAGCTTGTTTTCAAGTAGGCGGAAAGACTTAAACAAATAGTGTAATGTGTTTTAGATTGTTTATATAATTCCAGAAATTCAGGGAAACTGAGTTACATAAAAATTTAACTGGAAAGATATTCACTTGGAAGGAAATTGGACTCCAATAACATGTAAGTATCTCACAATAAATATTCATGCCTTAGAAAATGATGGTTTGCTTTGCGTGACAGTAATTACGAGAGGGTTTCGATTTATACAAAATAATATAATTAATAAGTTAGATAATGTCACAAGAGTCTGCAGTTTTATCAATAAATCACCACGAAATTTCTAACAACATCAAATCACCTTAATGGTATTATAAATTAACACAAACCCTCAACATCGCGATCATTACAGGAAGTAGCCCATTTCTACTAGTTTTTACCCTGCAGTAAATATGCGTTAGGGTCTAATAATCGTTCCGAACACGGCGCAAAATCTGTCCTCCTTTAATACTAGGCTCTAATATTTGAATGTGATGACGTCATCAACAGTTATTTGTACTATCAGAACTTTAACTACATATTTCTGTTCTGGAAATTTATACAAAAATTAAACGATGCAATCTGAAAAAATAAGTTAAACATTTTATCTTGTAAAATTAGTTTCATGACGTTATTTAGCCCGCGGTAGAAATAGGCTACTTCCTGTAATGATCGCGTTGTTCAGGGTTTGTGACCGTAATGGTGAAAATAAAAGTTAATTCGCCTGATTGGATTCATGCGATGGTAGTCCGAGAGTGATGCTTTGGTACGTTACTGTTTTTTTTTTTTTTTTTTGGTTTATTTTGGGTTTTTTTAAATAGATAAGTGTAGTTTTTCAGTCTACTTACGATTCTGAAGCGATAAAAGACGCGTGAGAAAAGTCGAATTGAGCGGAGGGTTGTGGTTACCGTTGCATTCCTTGTGTTAATTTATAATACCGTTAACGTGATTTCATGTTGCCAGAAATTTCGTCGTGCTTTATTGATAAAACTGCTGACTCCTGTGATAATGCTGACAGCAATCTTTTTGAGGCACCAATCATTGACGAAATTCTGTATTATTTAATTCAATATTCTAGTTTAGATTGTATAAAATACTGGTTAGCGCAGAGGTTGAGGAATTTGCTTCGCTTTTAATGAATATGGCGTGGCTGTATTCCGATGAAGAACGAGTTTCAGGCTAATCACTGCTCCGGCGTTTATCGACTTGGTTACTGTTGTATGATGCTATTTGTAAGACTGAAGTCTGACTGAGTTTTGTCTTCTGTTCGACAATATGGCTGAGAAAGGGCCGCTATATTTCAAAAGTTTCATGAATCCATAACAAGCACAACCAACTAATCAATTTATGATGAAAATTCCGAAAGAAAGGTTTCTCCGATGATGCGCGATTGTATTTACCAGAAACCAGTGGTGGTCGATTTACAATGTTCCTTATTAAAATGTTGATACAATGCGGAAATGGTTTCCAGCAGATCATAATAATCAACCGTGGACAGCCGTGCCTTAAAAAAGCGATCTTTTGGCATGTAATATAAACTTAGTTGTAATTAAAGCACGGCTAAACAATTGCAATTTTTTTTAAATGTCACGTAAACTTCGATACTTGTAGTGAAAAAGGTAATAATATTTTTAAGAGAACTTCAAAACTTTTACGACAGTATGGTATCTTATCTTCATCAGAGTCAACGGATTAAACCAACTCGTTCGATTATATTAAAAGATATGTGGCGGCTATTCGCAACATTACAAGAATTAGCACTTGGGCATCTCTTATTTCTAATTTATGTGAAAGATGTTACCGATGGTATGAGCTCTCTCGCCCGTCTTTCGGCAGATATGACTCATCCTCTTGTGTTGAAATATAGTTTGTTTTAAATAATGATCTAATAAAGCTGCATAATGGATCCAAGCAATGGGTCTAAAAGTTTAAATGTTTATGTCCCAAAAAATATTTTGTAAAAACCATAGTTTTATTAATCAAATTCTAGATATTGTCCACACTAGATTATGACATAATGTAAGAGATTATGGCATAATGTCAGTTCGTTAAAAGCTAATCTTTACCGCATTTAACTTGCTGACACCTCTTTTTGTTCCCGCGGTGGAATTGAAACGTCATACATTTTTTTTTCATATTCTTTCCCCAGTACACTATACAATGTTCTGGGCTAATGAGAAAATATCTGCGCCATATGCAACTGTTGGTTTAGATTTGCTCCTTTGGGAAATAAAAAATGCAAAAGTCTACAACATATGTTAAATGTATAACCGATAACGGACTATTTCAATAAGCTACTCAAATCGTGATTACTGCTTTTGCTCTCTCTCTCTCTCTCTCTCTCTCTCTCTCTCTCTCTCTCTCTCTCTCTCTCTCTCTCTCTCTCTCTCTCTCTCTCTCTCTCTCTCTCTCATTTTATCATATTTGTGACAATAAAATAAATTTGAACTAAACATATTTGTGACAATAAAATAAATTTGAACTAAACATATCTGATGATTGCAAATTACTGAAATTTTGGGTTAAATTAATAAACAAATAAAGACTATTAAAAATTAATTAAAAGGCACATTTACTGTTACCTTAAAGTCCAAATATATAAATGTTAAAAGGCATATGTAGTAGCTGTGGGTGGGTGGGTTGCAGCTACTTTGCGGAATTAGCAGGTAGAGCAAACACAATAAATGTCTAGGCTACATATTTCTTTAATGGTTACATTTCACTATTTCCAAATTCCCACCACATTCAATCATCGCATCGCATTTGTATTATAGTCATGTATACACTCTCGTGTTTTATGACTTTAAATTTAAATTCAAACACTCTCTGTATATATCAGTCGTAGCGGACTTCACAAGAGATCTACTGATATCATTTTTATAACTAGCTTGACTGTTTCTGTTACGTTTTGCGTTTTTTTTTCTTATTTATAGTCAATTATTATGAAGCAAAGTCCATATCGTTTTGTGTTCGTTATCCATAAAGTATTTCATCGATTTGTGTCGCGTTTTCCATTTTTTTTCATTTGTAGTCCGTTTTTGTGATGCAAAGTTCATCGATTTGTGTTACGTTTTCCTTTTATATTTGCCATATTGGCATTCTATCTCAAAGACCAAAGGTTAAAGAGTTGGAAATCCTTGTAATCTGATGCATGTGAAATTATGGCCATTTAAATTTCTTCCTACATAGGTCCAAATGATAAAATCTCAAATCAAGGAGGTGTTGCATCTATCAGGTGACTTCCATCAGTGGTCATGATTCCATGAATTAGGCTGTAAAATCCAAATTAAATCAAATCATACAGCAATTAAATCCAGATTTCATAGTGAATCTAGAAGACCAGGACTTTTGGTTCTCCGCCAAAATGTAGTAGCTGTGTGTGGTGGGTGGCAAATACTTTGGGGAATTAGCTGGTAGAGTGAACAAAATAAATATCTAGGCTACACATATCTTTAATGGTTACGTTTTACTGTCTCCAAATTCTCTCCACCTTAAATTTCAAAAACTCTCTGTATATATCAATTTTAGCGTACTTCACAGGAGACATAATGATATCATATTTGTAAAACTGGTTTGATTGTTTCAGGTACACAGAATCTGTGTTTCCTACATTAAACTAAACATTTGATATCTCACTAATGAGTTGTCCAGAAGTTGATTTGAAAACATAAATGATTATAATATATCTGCTCAGACCCACACTCACTTTCAACATCTTCCTCAAAATTTACATCTTAAAAAAATAAAGTTTATAGGTAAAAGTTGGCAAAGATTGTCAGAATTCAAATATAAAATATGTATTTCTTTTAAAACAATATGCAAATTATTCTTGCTAGTTAGATAAACTTGATCTAATATCTTGTCTCTAATATCAACATTTTTAAAATCTGAAACTAATTATAAGTCCTGTAAATAATCATTTGATTAATTTGCATAAACATAAATGCATGTGATTATCATAGACCGTGGAGCCATAGGGTGAGTTTGCTGTAAAGATTCTGCTCGTATAGTTTTAGACTGCAGAAGCGAAACATTTATTGAAAAGGGGATTCTATGAACAAGACCAGAAAATTGGAAATCAGTTGAATCATATCAAATGTCCCTACTTTAAAACAAAGCTGCTGTTACGCTTAATCCGAATCGATGGTATCAAACAGTCA